GTTAAGTGATATTCATTGTAGTTTTGATTTGAATTTCCCTGAATGTTAGAGATATGAGCATTTCTTCAATGTTTGTTGCCATTCTTCTGTCTTCTTTAAAAGTTTCTGTTCAAGTCCTATGCCCACTTTTGATAGATTGGATTTTTCTTCTTCTGATTTTGTGAGTTCTAAGTATATTCTAGTTATCAGTCCCTGATCGGATACGTAGGATGCAAAAATTTTCTCCCATTCTATAGGTTATCTATTTACTTTCATGACTGTTTCTTTGGCTGTGCAGAACTTTGTAGTTTGATCATTTCCCATTATTTATTTTTGTGCTTGGCTGTGGTTGCCTTTGGGGACTTCTTCATAAACTCTTTGCCCAGGCAATGTCTAGGAGAGTGTTCAACTTTTCCTCTAAATTCTAATAGTTTCATACCTTAGGTTTAGTCTGTTATCCAGCGTGAGTTGATTGTTGTGAGGGTGAAAGTGTGTGGGCTGTTTTAGCCTTCTACAGGTGGCTATCCAGGTTTCCCAGCACCATTTATTGAAAAGGGATTCTTTCCCCCAGCATATGTTTTTGTCTGCTTTGTCAAGATGAGATGGCTATATGAGGATGGTTTTATTCAGATTCTCAGATCTGTTCCACTGGTCAATATTCTTTTTTGTGCCAATACCAGATTGATTTAATTACTACAGCTTTGTAGTATAGTTTGATATCTGTATATTTATACTTCCCATTGTTTTTTGTGCTTGGAATTGCTCTGATATTCGGGTCTTCTTGGTAGCATCAAAAGGTAAAATTATTTTTTCTATAATCTGTGAAGAATGCTGATGGGATTTTAATAGGTATTGCATTGAATCTGTAGATCAGTTTGGGTAGTATAGACATTTTGATGATGTTGAGTCTGCTGACCCACAAGCATGGAATGGATTTCCCTTTGTTTACATCCTCTGCTATTTCCTTCCTCAGAGTTTCATAGTTCTCCCTGCAGAGGTCTTTTACCTCCTTGGTTAAGTATACTCTAGGTACTTTAATTTCTTTGTTGCTATTGGAAGGTATTGAGTCTTTGATTTGTTCTCAATTAGATTGTTGTTGGCGTATATGAATGCCTCTGATTTCTGTGTATTGATTTTGTATCCTGAGACTTTACTAAATTCATTGATCAGTTCCAGGAGTTTCTTGGTTGAATCTTTGGGGTTTTACAAATATAATATCATATCATTAGCAAAGAGTGAAAGTTTGATCTCTTCTGCCCCTATTTGGATACCTTTAATTCCACTTTCCTCTCTGATTGCTGTAGCCTGGACTTCCAACACTATGTTGAATAGAAGTGGAGATAGTGGGCAGCCTTGTCTGGTTCCAGTTCTAAGTGGGAATGCTTTCAGTTTTTCCCCATTCAGTATGATGTTGGCTAGGCGTCTGTTATATATGGCTTGTATCATTTTTATATATGTCCCTTCTATACCTATTTTCTTAAGTGTTCGTATCATGAAAGGGTGTTGAATTTTGTGAAAAGCTCTTTCTGCATCTATTGAAAGAATCATGTGTCTTTGTTTTTGCCTCCTGTTTATGTGGTGAATTGCATTTATAGATTTACGTATGTTGCACCATCCCTGCATCCCTGGGATAGCCCACTTGGTCGTGATGGATTATTTTGATAAGCGTCTGGTTGTTAGCTAAGATTTGTGGAAAAATTTGCATCTATATATTCATTAAGGATTGGTCTGTAGTTTCTTTTTTTGTTGCATCCTTTCCTGGTTTTGGCATCAGAGTAATATTCGCTTCATAAAAGGTGTCCGGGAGGTTTCTGTTCTTCTCGATGTTGTGGAATAGTTTCTGCAAGATAGGTACTAGTTCTTCTTTGTAAGTGTGGTAAAATTCAGGTGTGAAGCCATCTGGACCGGGACTTTTCTTTTTAGAGAGATTTTTAATTGCCGTTTCTATTTCAGCTCTTGAGATTGGTCTGTTCAGGGAATCTATTTCTTCCTGATTGAGCCTAGGGAGGCTGTGTGTTTCTAGAAATTTGTCCATTTTCTCCACATTTTTCAATTTGTGTGAATAAAGATTTTTGTAGTATTCATAAATTATATCTTGTATCTCTTTGGGATCAGTTGTGATATCTCCTTTTTTGTTCCTGATGGAGCTTATTAGAGATTTCTCTTTTCTGCTTTTGGTGAGCTTAGCCAGTGGCGTGTCAATTTTGTTTATGTTTTCAAAGAACTAACTTTTTGTTTTGTTAATCTCCTGGATAGCTTCCCTGTTTTCAATTTCGTTTAGTTCTTATTTGATCTTGTTGAT